AGCTGGAACCACTGGAATTTTCACTAGTGGGGAATCTGCCTCTCTTCTCGACTATTTTCCGGACTTTATGTAGCGGGGTGAGAGCCCTCCACGTGCTACACACGCATTTTTTTCAAATATGCAAAGCATTCTACTTGTAAGGAAATGTTCCCTCATTCACCAGCAACGTATATGCGAAACAACGCATAATGATGCAATTTGTAGCGGGGGGATTCCTGTACCTTTATCTGTATGCCTGTGTGCATGCAAAGGCATTACATAAAAAAAGATTTTCAAACACTGTTCGATGTCCTATTTTGATAAGGGGTGCATGAGTGTGAAATGATGAGGTCTGCATGTCCCGCAACACAAGAGTGGCACACTGCAACAAACCTGTGGAGCACCTCATGCGAATGTGCACCTACCACAGGCTTGAGCTTCTTGATGATGTCAGCCACGTTTGTTTTCGTTAGCCAGGCTCCCCGCCGCTCGGCTGCGGCACACACAGAACGTGGAAGCATGAGACAAAGAGTCCAACCATAACACAAATCGTACCAATTTAATTGTACTGCATGATGGAATCAACCTCACGAGTTTATTATGTATTTTTCCAGATGGCTTTAAAGCAAATAGATGGGAAAATAATCTCATCTAAAAGAGTGTTTAAACTAAATGGCACTTTTTCCTGGCACCATCAAGCCCATTTGAAATTACACAAAGCATCAAGCAAACACCTAGCATTTCGCTCTTACTTTAACACATATCCAGCTAGTTTACGTAATATTCTGAGTAACGATCACAGTAATTCAGCAATGAATGGAAGCCAAATTTGAAAGGTTTACATGAATCATAATATTGATCAGAGAGAGCTGTAATAGTCCTGCATCTTGTGAATTAAGTGAACAGGCTGGTATGTAAAGATACAGGAGTTGAGTCAGGCCACAGAAAGGGAGGACAGTTCAAGCAAGGCTGCGCAAACTATATCGCGCCTGGGTTCATCAGCAACAGAGTGCAAAGAGGCCGTCCATAAATGACGTGACGCGATTTTGGACGATTTTTGACCCCCCCCCCACCCATCGTCACACGGCGTCAAAGTCAGACCCCCCCCCTCAAATATGACGTCACAAAGTTCTGCCCCCCCCCCAAAAAAAAATATAAAACATGCTTCAAATCGCTTTAAACTATTGTCATTGTAGTGCGTATTTAGTGTGGCGCTGCACTCTGATGTTGTAGGAGAAAACATTTATTCAAAAGTCTATTTAATTAAGTAGAACGTATTGTCTATATTTATTTATTAAAGTTGCGCATTTTGATGTGACGTTACATTTCTCAACCCCCCCCCATCGCCACAAATGTCTGACCCCCCCCCCCCCCCAGGTGCGTGATGTCATTTATGGACGGCCCCAAAGGATTGGTAGGTGCAGGGGGACATTGTGCAGACCGCGAGGTAAGAGGTAGTTAAGAGATGTTTTAATAAAGTGATAGCTCAGGACAAGGGTGCAGATGTTTTCTAGCCAGCTCGATGATTGAGTCTAGGACGCACACACTTGAGCGAGAGTATTTAATGAGAGTGGAGGTTTTTTGTAAGAATGAGGACATATGGTTTATCAGCTATTTCAATGTGCAACAAACAAACGTAATATGTAATGCTTAGAAATTGATTTAATGCTAATATATCGATTTAACAATACATTGTCAATAATTGAGGATATGTTAAATACATTTCTGAAATACATATTAAAAATCAAACGTAAAAGAAACAGCAACAAATATGCCATGTGCCGTACAGTCGTGTTCCTTGATGCGTTCTCGTCACCTGTGGGTCCCTGCGAGGGCGAGAGTGGGTTCCAGGAGATGTCGTGTTCAGACTCGCCGCACGCAGAGGTGTGAGCGGCCAGCCCGGACTCGAGAACGGCGCTGCCGTGTGCGTCGCAGCTCATTATGTTCGCTGCGAAAAGTAACATTACAGGATCTGAACACATTGACGAGGAAGCATGCACATACACTCGCTTGAATTGTCTCACACTCAACCATTCCAGCCAGATTGGAGTGCGGTCATGACGACAACCATTAAATGCAAAACGTCGTCGAGTCCAGGGGTCGGTAAACTTCGGCTCATTAAGGACCACTTCTCGTCGTATTCGATATCGGACACGAATTCTATTGTTTAGTCAAGGGTCACAATACGCGCGTTACATCATATTGTGTAGAAATCAACACTTTCTATTTATTAAAATGTGATACAAATACGCCGTTACATCTCGGCTAACTTTGGAAAATATATCAAACAAAACTGTACAAATACTGTACCTCTGATTATTTGTACGAAATCATTGCAACATACATACGCAAATGAAAATAGAAAAAAACATTACAAGTATGAGACATTCCTTTAATCCAGTAGAGGCTTTAAAAATAAGTTATATAAAAACGTTTTAACACGCTTTCATTTAAATGTCACGCACTAGTAAATGGCAGAACTCCACGACTCCAGGAAGTGGCCCCGAGGCTCGCCACGACGTCAGGGGCCGTGGGCAATCACAGCCAACGTGAGTTGAGCGTGGACAATTAGAGCCGAGCCGAAACATAAATAAATGTTTATCAATATATATTTTTTTATGATAGAATATAGTATTGTCATCAGTATGACATCAGTATGCCAAGTTTGCAGTCGATACCACATTGGGAAGTGGGTGAAAACAGAGTTACAAGATTTGAGGCTAACACACACAACGACAGACAGACAGACAGTGAGTGAGTGAGTCCACGTGCGTGACGCTCACGCCGCGCGCCGCTTTCAAACAGAAGCAACGCGCGACCACGAACGTCGTTCGCGTCGTTCGTAGCCAGCCGGACGAATTGGAGGCGCACACACAAGGCAGCTTTGGTGGGAAACGTCTAGATTTGTGGAGCCCAGCTCTGTACTCTGCCTGTCCTCTCTCTCCCTTTCACGCCGTTCCCTCATCACCATCATCAACCACAGCCCTCTCACCTTCACCAACCCACCAACAATAACAGCCTCTTAATTTAACCTGATTTACTCCAACGTTTCATCTCACAAAGTAATAACAGACTCGAACGCACGCTATTTCATGATAACCGACAAGTGCATTCACGATAAGAGTGTATTATGACAATGCACACCTTTGTTACAGAAATTGGCGTCCAGGCGTTTTAATGGGACGTTGTATTTTGTAGCTACGCGTCTTTCACGCCATTTAAAACCGCTTTAACATCCAACCACCTGTTGTAAACGTACACCCACGTTATTCTACTGCAGAGTAACGCACGCGTATCCCAGCGTTTGGTTACATGTCACCGATCCTGAGCTCTTCCCCGGCCTCACCCCTCGCCATCCTCCCGAGCCGCTGCCGACTCAGCCTGGCGCCCTGCTGGCGCCTCTGCGGGGTCTGCGCCCCGTCCACCTCCCCCCCTCCTCCTCCTCCCGCCGCCGCCTCCGCCTCCTCCTCTCCGTCGTCCCGTGCTCGCGTGCCTCTGCAGGCCTCCTCGCCGGCTGTCGGTGGCTGCCGTCGGGTCCGCATGCTGCGCCCTGCCGGCCCTGGGGAGGGCAGCGGGAGGAGGAGGAGGTACCTGGGGGGGCTACGAGGAGGGGGGCTACGAGGGGGGGGGCTACGAGGGGGGGGGGGGCTACGAGGAGGGGGGCTACGAGGAGGGGGGCTACGAGGAGGGGGGCTACGAGGAGGGGGGCTACGAGGAGGGGGGCTACGAGGAGGGGGGCCCGGTGGTGGTGGTGGCGGAGTGGAGCCGACCCCGCGTCCTCATCGCCGAGGGGCAACCCGCAACCCGCTCAAGTGTCGTGATCCTGGCGTGGCCGTGGTGCACAGGCGGCAATAAAAGAATGTCAACACGCTGGTCGGCAACACTGTGCCACGAAATGTAAAAACGAAAACATAATTGGCGACGTTTCGGGCAATGGCCCTTCGCCAGAGCAGGCAACTTTATCAAACGCGCCGCCTTTCCCAGAGGCTGCGCGCTGATTGGTTGAGCGCCGAGTCGCGCGGGACCAATCAGTCACGAGCTCGTACCGCGAGTAACTTTATCGACCATTGGTCGGATCGCCGCGTCACGTGGGATAATCGTCACGATCGCCGCCTGCCTATTGGCTGACCGCGTCGGGCGGGGCGGAGAAACCGCCTGCGCGTTGCCGCCATTGGCTGGTCGTGGTCACGTGGCGGGCAACCCCCGAACCCCGTGGACCTCTCCCCGCTGCAACTTTATTGACAACGGGGCGGGGGGGGGGCAAAGCCCCCTCGCCTGGTGGAGCCAATGGGCAAGCCTCTCTGCTGTCACGTGACCCGAGGCGAGTTGAAACTTTATTGCGGCGGAGTAGCGTGCGCCACAAGCGCGCACACGGAGACAGCGCGCGGCGGGCGCCTCGGGGGGGCGGGTAGTGGGGAAGGGAGCGCTTCACTGGGGAAGGGAGCTCTCACTGGGGAAGGGAGAGCTTGACTGGGAAAGGGAGAGCTTCACTGGGGAAGGGAGAGCTTGACTGGGGAAGGGAGAGCTTCACTGGGGAAGGGAGAGCTTGACTGGGGAAGGGAGAGCTTGACTGGGGAAGGGAGAGCTTGACTGGGGAAGGGAGAGCTTGACTGGGGAAGGGAGAGCTTGACTGGGGAAGGGAGAGCTTGACTGGGGAAGGGAGAGCTTGACTGGGGAAGGGAGAGCTTGACTGGGGAAGGGAGAGCTTGACTGGGGAAGGGAGAGCTTGACTGGGGAAGGGAGAGCTTGACTGGGGAAGGGAGAGCTTGACTGGGGAAGGGAGAGCTTGACTGGGGAAGGGAGAGCTTCACTGGGGAAGGGAGAGCTTCACTGGGGAAGGGAGAGCTTCACTGGGGAAGGGAGCGCTCTCACTGGGGAAGGGAGAGCTTGACTGGGGAAGGGAGAGCTTGACTGGGGAAGGGAGAGCTTGACTGGGGAAGGGAGAGCTTGACTGGGGAAGGGAGAGCTTCACTGGGGAAGGGAGCGCTCTCACTGGGGAAGGGAGAGCTTGACTGGGGAAGGGAGAGCTTGACTGGGGAAGGGAGAGCTTGACTGGGGAAGGGAGAGCTTGACTGGGGAAGGGGAGAAAGAAGGCGTCAACAGCGAGGAGAGGAATGCTCGCGGCGGGGCTGCCGCCCGACGTGGCGGCGCTGCTGCCGCGCGGCGCCGCGACACTCGCGCTGAGCTTCTGCCCGAGCGAGGTCCCCGCCGCGGCGGCTGCGCTCCTGAGGGAAGCCGTGGAGGCGCAGCGCGGAGACACGGCGCGGGGTGAGCAGTGAGACGGGGTGAGGGGACGGGGTGAGGAGACCTGGTGAGGGAACAGGGTGGGGAAATAAGGTTAGGGGTGAGGAGACAAGGGTGAGTGATGGAAGGGGCAGGGTGAGGAGACAATGGTGAGTGATGGAGGGGACAGGGTGAGGAAGTAGGGTGAGGAGACAAGGGTGAGTGATGGAAGGGACAGGGTGAGGAGACAATGGTGAGTGATGGAGGGGACAGGGTGATGAAGCAGGGTGAGGAGACAAGGGTGAGTGATGGAGGGGACAGGGTGATGAAGCAGGGTGAGGAGACAAGGGTGAGTGATGGATGGGACAGGTTGAGGGGCGATGAAGTAGGGTTAGGGGTGAGGAGACAAGGGTGAGTGATGGAGGGGACAGGGTTAGGGGTGAGGAGACATGGGTGAGTGATGAAGGAGACTGGCTGAGGAAGCAGGGTGAGGGGTGAGGAGACAATGGTGAGTGATGGAGGGGACAGGGTGAGGAAGCACCAAGGCCCTGTCAATGTGTTTCCTGCTCCAGAAATGTCAAAGGCAGCACTGGACGTGGCGTGGGAGGGCCTCAACTCTGCGTGCTGGCGCGACGTGAGTGTGGAGTGGCGACGGTTCTATGCACTGAGCGCCCTCGTAGCGGCTCTGTGGGAGGTCAAGGCTGGGGAAGAAGAGAACCTCAGGGTAGGTATGAAGTTGCTCATGTCCAGCATACATGTATCATCTATATAATCGTATAAAAGGCTTCATATTTCTGTAAGGTTATCACACCTTTACAGCATTATCTTGAGTATTTTTTGTTGTACACTGTTCAGGATCCAGTGAGACCTCATTTTGACAAAAATAGTCCAGTAACCTGGGGTATTAAAGATAAACTGTGGAGGACCTTTGGAACCTCATTTGCCAGTAAAAAATATGATTATTGGTTTTTTACCCTTCTATCTGGCAACAAAACTGACACCTTTTTTACATGGAGTCATGTTTGCATAGACCACAATACCTGCAGTCATAATGCAAACAAAAAACATAACTCTGATAATGTGCACTGTCCTTGAAGATGATTGGTCCACACCCGAGACAGCTTTCTTTAGAGCGTAGTCTCACATGGGTTGGACCAGATGATGCCAAAAGGCACACAACTCAAAGACAATGCACCATCAGAGTATGAGAGCTCGGGGTAAGCATTTACACCATTGGAACCTCATTTGCCAGTAAAAAATATGATAATAGTTTTTTTACCCTTCTATCTGGCAACAAAACTGACACCTTTTTTTACAAGGAGTTATGTTTGCATAGACCACAATACCTGCAGTCATAATGCAAACAAAAAACATAACTCTGATAATGTGCACTGTCCTTGAAGGTGATTGGTCCACACCCGAGACAGCTTTCCTTAGAGCTAGTCTCACATGGGTTGGACCAGATGACGCCAAAAGGCGCACAACTCAAAGACAATGCACCATCAGAGTATGAGAGCTCGGGGTAAGCATTTACACCATTGGAACCTCATTTGCCAGTAAAAAATATGATAATTGGTTTTTTACCCTTCTATCTGGCAACAAAACTGACACCTTTTTTACAAGGAGTCATGTTTGCATAGACCACAATACCTGCATTGTCTTTGAGTTGTGCGCCTTTTGGCGTCATCTGGTCCAACCCATGTGAGACTAGGCTCTAAGGAAAGCTGTCTCGGGTGTGGACCAATCAACTTCAAGGACAGTGCATACATTATCAGAGTTATGTTTTTTGTTTACATTATGACTGCAGGTATTGTGGTCTATGCAAACATGACTCCTTGTAAAAAAAGGTGTCAGTTTTGTTGCCAGATAGAAGGGTAAAAAAACAATTATCATGTGGAGGACCTATTATATAACCTTCAACAAAGGCCAGAAAACCCTGGCGCAGATCGTAAAACGGTGCAGATCAAGCGGTGGGGCCAATGTGGGGAAGAAGCAGGGTCGAGAAAGGAACTGGTGGAGCCAACATAGGAGGAGAGACAGCAGGTCAGCGAAATTAGCCAAACACGTTGACGAACGTGTTGAGTTTTTTCATTGTTATTGCGCTTTCCGCTACAACCAATGCGGCATCACCAAATAATGAATGTGGTGACGGGGTGGGACCAAATAGGAGGGACAGGACAGTCGGGGAATGGCCTTAACGGTGAACGAGGCTCACAGGATAACTTATCAGATCATAATGCCATTTTTCGCATGCTCCATTTGTTTATCTTCCCAGGAGGCTGTGCGGTTGTGTGACCTTGGTCTGATCATGGGAGTGGCGATTCTCGATAACATCCTCATGCGACTGGTTGCTGTGCTGCAAAAACGTCTCACTGGACTTAAGAGGTCCCATGACCGGTTAGACGATGCGCCATGTGACCTCAAGCACCCTGATGCAAAGGTAGCCACACTTGGTCATGTGCGTTTAAAGTATTGACTGCTGTCAAATTTTAAAACTAATTTTATTTGACCAGGTAAGGGCACACTGAGCTATACAGCTCTTTTCAGAAGCGACCTGGCCACAAATGATAGCTCAACGAAGTGGATTATTATGTGGAAATGTATATCAGCCATATTTCTAAGTGTGGATCCAAAAACTGGAGGACCCGGAGAAAAATCCACGGGGAAAACATGCAAACTCCAAATATACAAGCGTCAAAGGCCAGACTGCTCAGGGGACAAGTAATTTAAACACCGCAAACTACGACGGTTAGGGGTTACCACTACTTGTGGTAACTTGTGTTCAGTTTAGCGCACACACCCTAGCACCTGACTCTGCCGCATGATACACGAGAATCTATTCTCTTGTGGCCTGCATGTGCACCAAACTTGGTACGTGCACCTAGGGAACGTTACCACCCTGGTTTTGAAAGATGTGTGAATTATGTTTTATGGGGAGATGTGTCCTTTTGTGGACATGTATTTTCACCATACTTTAGTGTGGCTTTAAGTTTTAAAACCCTGCCGAATATTGTGCAGATGCATGAATATTGGCACCAGTAGTGTTATCATTGGAGCACTGTGAAACTGCCGAGACAGGCTACGTTTGAAATCTGACCACATCAGAAATATCAAATGGTAATGGGAGGTATTTGTCTTTGTGTGTGTGAACCTGGCGACCAGAGTTCGATTCCCGCTCACGGCCAACACGACCAACACCAGTGACGATTATCTGTACCGGTCCTAGGCCTCCCCTAGGTCAACTCGGCCTCAAATTAGTACCTGGTGCAGTGTGTAAACATCGCCACTTGGGAGATGAAGGCGGCCGGGCGTGTTGCTGGCTAGCCCTCCCTCGTGTCCTGTGCCGGTCTTCATAGGTGCTTGCTGACAGCACTTGCCCCAACAGTCTGTTAAGGCTACACGGGGTGTCTTTGTCTAGGTGTGCCGCCTCTCCCCTGAGCGGGCTGTACCGCAGCTCATGTGCCCATCCATTGACACATTCCGTCGACTGCACTTGCTGCCCGCTGAGCCCGTACTTCTGCAGGACACAGTCTCCCACTGGCCTGCTCTCACCAAGTGGAGGTTACTGCTCACCTACCTTTCTCACATTTTGTAGCTTGGCTCTGACTGTTGAGTGAGTGCTGTTATCATATCAATTAATGTGCCTATTCCGGGATAATGAGGGGGACCATGAGCTTACACAACCACCATTTGTTTACGAATTTGTGGTAGCACCCTCACTACACAAACATTTTATTACTCAATGCTCTGTTTTATTTAAATACATAATTACTTGATGGCCCCTTTCAATGTACCTTTAACAGCAGAAAAAAACATGTAAACAAAGGATATTAGCAAATAATAAGCCAAGGTGTTGGTTTAAAATAAGCCAGAAACCCAAGAGTGTACATTACATGTTGATACTGCATTCTGTGAACTTTTTAATCCCCCCTCTATTTGCGGTGAATCAAACCCTTGTCACCAAGATGAAGCCGAATATATTTGTAATCCCTATCATTACCTTAATGCTATGGTGACATTACCTTTGCATCTATGGTGAATGCTCCATTGACGGACACTCTCAGGACTGACCTAGGTGGAGTATTGTTGGTCTTTATGCTGAATAATTTGGCTCCATGATCCCCATCACGAGCCATTCTAACTTTGTATTTAGTAGAGTGTGGTCCTGAAAATAAGTTGTTGTACTGTCTGTCTGTTCCATTGTTTATCCTCTCCATCTTCACACACCACACAAACAATCAGGGTAAGGTATGGCCAAATAACCCCCCTAGCCTGCACGGCATGGAGAGGCCCTCATCCAGCAGTGGATTGATAAAGGGGCTATACATGTAATGACACTTTTTCCTGCATTCTGTTGGACGAAATGGGGTTCTTTGTTTATTGATGTGTGTGCAGCTTGGGTTACCTAGTGCGCATGGCCGGTTGCCGAACTGTTCCAGTGGAGCTTGGCTCGCGCTACACAGACGCTCATTGGACTCAGACTCTCATGACGCTGCAGGAGTTTGTGGAGAAGTACATCATTAATGCGGTAAAAATGCACATGATTTGCGACCATTAGGAATCTCCAGTATTAAGTGTGTTTTCTCTCTCTCTGTGTGTCTCTGTTGTCTCTCTAGTATTTCCTGCAGTTTGGTTTCTTTCTCTCTCTGTCTGTGTTGTCTCTCTCTGCTTGTGTGTCGGTCTTTGTGTCTCCGTGTCTGTGTCTTGTCTCTCTCTCAAAATTTCACACTTAACTTCTAATTTTGCAATCTTTGGAAGAACGTAATCAACCAGGCTATGCGTTAATTGTGTGTTGACCGACTCATTACATTTCCAAATTTTACTAAGTTTGTTTGATTAAGTGTGTTTTCTCTCTCTCTCTGTGTGTCCTCGTGTTGTCGCTCTAGTATTTCATGCAGTCACTAAAGCTCCAAATCTCTCATTGACATGCTAATTTCTCTACCCCCCTCTCTCTCTCTGCCCCCTCTATTTAAGGCCTCGACACAGAGGCGTTGTTTCTCTGTGTGCCTATGTGTGTCTCTCTCTGTGCTATCTCTCTCTGCTTATGTGTCTCCGTGTCTGTGTTTTGTCTTTCTCTCAAATTTAGCAATCTTTGGAAGAATGTAATCAACCAGGTAGGGTGTTGACTGTTATGTTAGCCGACTCTGTGTTGCATTGCATTATATTTCTAAGTGTACTAGGTTTCTTTTCTCTTTCATTTGTACCTGATGATGATTGCTTGTGTTGCAATCGAAACGTCGTATGATATTATTTCATTTATTTTTTCTTTCTACGTGACTTTACCGAAAGAACCAAAGAGTAATTCCTGCAGCCACGAAAGCTCCAAATCAAGTTTGAATCTCCAGTATTTACACCACCGTCAGTCATGAACATCTCCATCTCCTTTCATTCATCACGATTCGCTTCTCGAAAGCATACGTCATTTATAACCATTATCCTTTATGTTTATTGCATTGTTCTTTATAACCATGTTCATATCATAATCGTTACATCACAAATTATGTTATGCCTGTACGAATACATTATATATGTTTGACCTTACTTCCATGAACAGTTGCTGTTATTGGCATATCTGGCACTAATCCATGATCTTCCCTAAACTCCCTTGTCATTGGTTTATTGGCACTTTAATATCACCTCATCACCCCAGCAATGCGCCATAGTAACTGTTACCTTCTTGAGCCCGTTTGCCTGTGTACCTGCTACTCTGTTTTGCAAACATGATGCAGTAAACCGTTAAATACAGTGGAACTCCTCGTATCGGTGGTGTTGATAGGTGGTGCACTATTCCCAGATCCCATATGAGTTAATCTGCAAAATTAACAAGTGTTGTGAAAGTAACTGCTGAAAGATAGCATTGAATAATATTATTTTTTTTCACAGGAGTCCCAACCAACAGTGGGTTACCTGGCTCAACATGAACTGTTTGATCAGGTGGGACACTTAAGAACGTACATGTACCCACTTATATACTGACATCCATGTGTATGTATTTATACGCTTGAGTGGATATGTGCGTCTGCAACAGGTATGGGGAACAATACATAAAAACCTTTAGTTATGGTTTAAAATAAAATCGTTACGTTTTGTTGTGGGTATTTTTTAATTCCATTCTATTCCAGGATCAAAACATGTTTTCAGAATGGACTTTTGAAATTCCTATGAAATTATTGGAATTGAATGAAAGGACTTCATCGGGAAACATGATTGTAGCATGAACACGTGCTGAACTCTGCCTAATAAAAGCATGTGTTTTTAAAAATATGCATAATATGTAGTGTTCATGCATGTGTTTAAGAAAACCAGACAGGACATCAGCTCACTGCATTTAACAACCGTGGTTATAATCCTGGGTAGTTAAAGCATGTGAATTAGACACCAACTTGAGTATGTTCTCAAATCCGTGCGTTCCTATTCTTGTCTATCACAGTAATTCTAGGCATGTACCTGTCCATGTAATTTGTGCACTTTTCAGCTTGTGTTCCATTTATGTCGCATTTTTTGTGATTCATTTTGTAATCATGGCGAACTTATAAACACTTACCCAGATGTATACAAATGCACAGCTGATGTTCGCAGTTGTGGTACCAGTAAATGTTATGAGCGCTGTGTTGTTACACCTGCTTGTTTACAAGGGTGTAATGGTGGTGCTGATTACATTAATATTTCTTGTGCAGATCCCAGATCTTAGAAATGATATTGTTATTCCGGACTACTGCTGCGTGTCAGAACGAGAAGGAGGAGATGACGAAGAGGAGGGAAGCGAAGAGGTCGTGATCAATGCATGGTTCGGCCCTGGCGGCACGGAAAGCCCTTTACACCATGACCCGCAGCACAACATTTTGGTGCAGGTACACAAGTGTGTGTTCACCCAGAGGCACTTTGAATTGCTATAATAACAACCATCTACACCACAAATGGTAGTGTGACATCCTCAAGGCACTAGTGCCAACCTTGGCACAACACTATTCTTCATTCACCACTAAGTGACGTAGTCACTGTCACATTTGGATCTTCTGGAGTTTGCATTAGCTGACTGACAGGAAGTCACGGGTCAGAGCTGGATGATGTAGCTTAACAGAACAGAGCGACTGGAAAAACAGAACAACTTAGAACTCGGTCAACTTTCTGCGTTAGCCACACAGTGCAATGCTCTCTGTTTCGAGTGTCACTTTGCTGCCTCCTATTGGTAGAAGCGAGAAGCCATTTGTCTCACAATAGATACGTTGTGAGTTTATTACCCACAATGATATGACAACATAGTTAACTAGCATTCCATTGCTTGCTGGAGCAGGGACACTGACTTATTTTATGACCTTACAAAATATGTGTACATCCTTGTGTTGTTTCTACTACATTGCTGTGTATGCATATTTGGCACAAATTATTAACAGGTTGATTCGATTGTCAACATAAAAATCGGTAGTAGAGATATTTGCATACGTTTTGCAAAACGGAACGACAAAGGACGTTTGTAACCACGTGAATCAGGGCTGTAACGTGCATTTAGCTTTTTAATTACGTGACCGTGTGTATGTGTGCGTGTTCATTAATGTGGGTATAAAGGTATTTGGACAGAAGTATGTGCGCCTCTACTCTCCAGAACCACTGACAAGCTGTACCCTCATCCATCACACCTGCTGAACAATACCAGTCAGTTACAAACACCAAACCTGGCACATCACACTGTTTGGTCTGTCGATGATGTTGACGGTGGAAGCTTGTTACAGCGAGGAATTGTGCTATATCACCCACAGACTGTGAACATTGGCCTGTTGTGATGGTCAATGTTTACTATCATCTGTCTCCCCCTCCTACTGTCGTCGTGTCCCAGGTGGACGTGCTTAGGCCCGACACGTGTCAGTTTCCCCGCTTCACCGAGGCCCCGTTCCAGGAGGTGGTGCTGTCCCCCGGAGATGCACTCTTCATTCCTCGCAAGCACTGGCACTATGTAAATTCACTCAGCCACAGCTTCTCTGTGTCCTTCTGGTGGTCTTGATCACACACGCACACAAATGCAAGGGCATGGACGGGCTACATCTCGCTTCGTAGGCTGGCAGAGACGGTGCTGGTTCATGGCAAATACACAGGCCAGAATGCTAAAGAATTGGGTTTGTTGTACTAGCACCACTCACACATCCCTGTGCTCATGGTAACACACTGCACCAGGTACTAGGTTTTATTTATTTATAAAGCACCTTGAATCAAGATCTCAGCACTGTACAAGACAAAGCAGATGATACCCCACATGATAAATTGTAACTTATGAATTGTAAAATAAATATTAAAAGCCATTTGCTGAATTACCTCAAAGATTTATAAATGTAAGTGTATAAATACGTTTTCAGATGAGCTTAGGCCGAGTTATCCTAGCAGCGATGCAGTGGTTCGTGCATTGTGCTATGAACCTAACGACCTGCATTTGATTCTCAGCCGCAACTAGCATAATTTGTGAGTGATATCTGAACCGATCCTGACCTGCCTTCAACCTGTGCTGACCAGCATGGTGAAGTATGATAAAAACGGCTTCCATGACTGACATGGCATGTGGAGGCCTTCATCTAGCAGTGGATTGACAAAGAACTGTAAATTATATTCTATGGTTCTTTTGGTAAAGTCACGTAGATAGAAATAATAATAATAAATAAAGTGACTAAAAAATTATACAAATATCACGACGTTTCGATCGCAACACAAGTGGTCGTCATCTGAATATTCTTTTTATTCATTTTATTTTATTATTTTATTGTTATATTTTTTTCTATCGACGTGACTTAACCGAAAGAACCATAGAATGAATTCCTGCAGTCAAGAAAGTTTTAAGTCAAAATTTAACTAAATTATTATTAATCGGGGAGGGAGGGTAGTCCAAGCCAAGTTTGTATGCCAATTGCCACTGGTATTGTGACTTTACAAAACCAGTAATGTTTGCTCTTATGGAATTATTGTAAGAGTTGAATGTTATTCAATATAAGCCAAAAACAACACCTTGTGGAAGACCGAACACAGAAGATCCCTGAGTTTCATCTCCCACGAAGCTCATGGTCCACCCTAAACTGCATCTACTGTGCAAACCATGACAGTTGCAGATAGCTGATGCAAATGGAAAATAAAAAACTCGTGGTCATCCAGAACAGACCGTATAACGTATAATGACGCAATGCCTGATCCACAAATAAGAAGGAGACATCACAGCGGTGATGACACACTCCGCTACTCCTGACGCAGTTGACTGGCTTGACCACCTGAATGTGAAATTGTAGTTGTTGGTCTGCATCTTCATCAGCCGTATGAAAGAAAAATATTTGCTGAGTCGGTAGACCCATGCTGTTATGCCCTGAATCCAAAATGTGCTAACTATACAAAGTTATCCACTCTTTCCACCTGTACAGAAGTCTGTTATCCAGTTGTACATAAAGGAAACAATTGAAAAATTGGGTTTTTTTGATGAAAGTGTAATTTTGATGTGTTGCATAATAAACAAGCACACCATATTACACTTAGTCTCAGTATTAAATGTATTGAGTCAATGAGTGAGAGATTGGTCACAGGGTATGTAAGGAAGGTTGCTATCACGGTGGCGAAATGTTATCTCCCTCACTTGGTATGCAGTAGGTTGTGGGTTCGATTCTGACCCTGAAGATCGTGAATGTTCTCACGTTCTCGCCGTGGTCGTGCGGTTGTTATTCCGGTCATCTGGTTTTGCTCTCCAGATTTGGAAACATGCGTTTAGATTATTTGGTATCAATTCCCACATAAAAAGCTATTTCCACGGGCTGTCATGTGTGGCCTGGTTGCCTCTGAAAAAGAGCCACTAGCTCAGTCGGCTTTATCGGCTGAAATAAGATCGTTGAATCTGGGGAACACATTGCACATACCTGATCAGGCACCAACATGCTGCCCGCAGCCCCTCCGTG